GAAAAAAAAAATTTTACCAAGTGAAATATACATTTTCCTACACACAAAGAGAAGGATACATGCACAATAGTAGAGTAGTACATGCACAGTATATATTGTGCATGTACTAGTCTACTAAATGAACAATAAATGACACCTTTATTGAAGATGCAGCAATGACTGATGAGACACTGTGTCCTGGGAGTGCCTTTTCCTCCTGAGTACTGTAGGTCCTGTTTGGTATTTTCTTCCAGAACATGCCTTATCACACTGTGTATGTCACTATGATTCTTAAATCTCTCAAACCAACCTTTGCTGGCTTTAAATTCACCAATATGAGCACTAGTTCCAGGCATTTTTCCCTGTTCACCTGGGTGTTAGTCGACTGGTGTGGGTTGCATCCTGGGAGACAAGATTAAGGACCCCAATGGAAATAAGTTAGACAGTCTTCGATGACACTGACTTTTTTGGGTTATCCTGGGTGGCAAATCCTCTGAGGTTAATTGTTTCTTGGTATATTCTCAATAAGCCACACCAACAACAGTGCTACAGCAGCAGCAGACGATGCTACAGCAGCAGCAGCAGCAGACGATGCTACAGCAGCAGCAGACGATGCTACAGCAGCAGCAGCAGCTGACAGTGCTACAGCAGCAGCAGACGATGCTACAGCAGCAGCAGACGATGCTACAGCAGCAGCAGACGATGCTACAGCAGCAGCTGACAGTGCTACAGCAGCAGCAGACGATGCTACAGCAGCAGCAGACGATGCTACAGCAGCAGCAGATGATGCTACAGCAGCAGCAGCAGCTGAGAGTGCAGCAGCAGCAGCTGTACCACCAATAGTAGCGATGGTTGATTGGGGTTTATTATACAACCTGGCCAGCTCGGAGACACGCACTCCACTTTCATACTTATCAATGATCTTTTTCTTCATCTCTATAGTAATTCTCACCCTTATTGCTGTAGGGTTGGCACTAGAAGCTTTCTTGGGGCCCATGGTCACTTATTTTCCAGATAAAATCACCAAAAACACTGTAATAATACGAAATGTTACGATTGTATGCTTGGATGCTACCGCGGAGGCTGGCTGGTAAACAATGCCACCGGCGGAACATGTGAGGCTGGCTAAGGCGCACATTGGACGCGTCTCGGACGAACAGCGGTGAGCGGGTTTTTAAGCGGTATGCGAGGCAAAATTTTAGCGATAAAATGTATCGGTATGCGGATTAAACGTTATGTGATGCCAACGGTATGCGGGGGTCCACTGTAATTCCATAAGTTTTCCATCGAATTTCGTATTTTTGGTGTCATTACCATCAGGAAAATATTCTTTATCATTTCGTGAATTTTTTTAATTCTTCAACACTTAGAGCAAGTTTGTGAGCAGGGATCTCAACAGTGAAAGGGTTAACATGGCATCCATCTCCCACTGAGGCAGTGTGACCCAAAAAAGAAACACTACCACCATTATTTAACACTTTTTTTAATTGCTCGTTAATAATAGTAATGCCTGTTTGGACTCATTTTCAAAAATTCATGAAAATTAGGAAAGTTGCAGCAAAAGTTATAGGAATAAAAAGGTCTTAGAAATGGCCAGGCTGTAGCTTACTAGAAGAAGCGCATCCAAATCCCTCCATTATTTCGATGATGGAATGCTAAAGAGTTAAGGCACATTCACCAAGAAGCATCTGAGTACAGTGGACCCCCGCCTTACGAACGCATCGTGTTACATTAAATTCGCCATACGAAGCATTTGAACGCAAAAATTTTGCCTCGCCTCATGATAAAAAACTCGCCTTACGTGATTCGTCCGGGACACGTCCCACGTGTGGCCTCAGCGCCAGTGTTTACAAGCCAGCCAGTGCGGTCGCATCTACACATACATTTGGTACATTTCACATTATCCCAGTGTTTTTAGTGCTTGTAACTGCAAAATAAGTCACCATGGGCCCCAAGAAAGCTTCTAGTGCCATCCCTGTGGTAAAAAGGGTGAGAATTAGTATGGAATTGAAAAAAGAGATTAAGGAAATGTGTGCAAAGTGGGTTGAACTGCAAACTTTTATGGATGAAAATCACCCTGACACAGCTACTGCAAGCCGTGTTGGCAACCTGTACAATGACAATGTTATGGCCCATTTTAGTAAATGTTAACGGAACGGGAGGTACAGAGCTTTATGGACAGATTTGTTGTGCGACAGAGGTCCAGTGACTCTCAGGCTGGTCCTAGTGGCATTAAAAGAAGAAGGGAAGGAACCCCGGAAATGGACTTGCTACTTCAAGTCCTAATGGAAGGGGATTCCCCTTCTAAACAATAAGTTCCACACACACCCCTCCTCCCATCCCATCAATCATCACCAGATCTTCAATAAAGGTAAGTGTCATGTGTTCTATTCTTAGTAGAGTATTAACTGTGCATGGCTTCTTCAGTTTGTGTGTTTTAAAATTAATATTTCATGTGGTAAAAAAAAAATTTTTTCATACTTTGGGGTGTCAGGAACGGATTACAGTGGAACCTCAAAAATCGAACTTAATCCGTTCCAGGAGCTAGTTCTAAATTCGAAAAGTCTGAAATTCAAAGTAATATTTCCCATAAGAAATAATGGAAATACAATCCGTTCCAGAAACCGAAAAATATTCACACAAAAAATACATTTTATAGAGATTAATTACAGTTTTACATAAAATAAATACTATAGTTTTTAATTATGTATAGCAATACATTTAAAATAACATTTTTACTTACCTTTATTGAAGATTGGTGATGGCATCTGGAAGATAGGGAGGAGGAGAGAGGGAGTTGGGGTTAGTGTTTGGAAGGGGAATCCCCCTCCATGAGGACTTCGGGTAAAGCCCTCTCTGGGGTTACTTTCCTTCTCTGTCGTTTAGTGCCACTAGGACCAGCTTGAGAGTCACTCTACCCCTGTCTCACAAAATAACTGTCCACAGTCCTCTGTTTCTGGCGCCTCTTTAACATTTCCCCAAAATGGGACATGGTTCTGTCACTGAACTTGTTGCAAAGATGGCTTGTTTCAGCTTGCTCAGGGTGGTACTTCTGCACAAACACTTGGCACAAATCTCCTTAATCTTTGAAGAAGGCACCTCATCCACTCCCTCCTCTGAAGCAAGTTCCTCAGCTGTGGTCTGATACTGCTCCAGATGAAGCTCTTGCAGCTCTTCAGTGGTTAGCTCTTCCCTGTGGTCCTCCACCAACTCTTCCACATCCTCACCACTCACCTCCAACCCCAGGGTGTTCCCCAATGCCACAATAGAGACCACAACAGGCAGAGGGTGAGCTGGGTCAGGGTCAGCCTCAAACCCTGCAAAATCCCTCTTTTGGACACAATCTGGCCACAATTGTCTCCAAGCAGAGTTCAAAGTCCTGGAAGTCACTCCCTCCCAAGCCTTACCTATAAGGCTTGTGGAGTTGTAGATGTTGAAGTGATTCCTCCAGAACTCTCTTAGGGTCAACTTAGTGTCTGTGGTCACTTCAAAGCACTTTTCAAACACTGCTTTTGTGTAGAGTTTTTTGAAGTTAGAAATGACCTGCTGGTCCATGGGCTGGAGGAGAGGAGTGGTGTTAGGAGGCAAGAACTTCACTTTTATAAAACTGAAGTCCTTAGACAAGAGGTCTAATAAGTTTGGAGGATGAGCAGGAGCATTGTCCATTAACAGGAGGCACTTGAGTGGCAATTTCTTTTCCTGGAGGTATTTTTTCACACTGGGGCCAAACACTTCATAGACCCACTCTTTGAAAATTTGTCTTGTGACCCATGCCTTATGATTAGCTTTCCACAAGACTCATAACTTGTTCTTATAGACATTGTTTTTCTTAAACACACTGGGATTTTCTGAATGATACACAAGTAAAGGCTTCACTTTAAAATCACCACTAGCATTAGCACAGAACAAAAGAGTAAGCCTGTCTTTCATAGGCTTGTGTCCTGGCAGGGCCTTTTCCTCCTGTGTGATGATGGTCCTTTTTGGCATTTTCTTCCAAAACAAGCCTGTTTCGTCACAATTAAACACTCGTTCAGGTTTGAATTCTTCACTGTCTATGTACCCCTTAAACTCCTATACAAACTTCTCAGCTGCCCGTTTGTCTGAACTGGCTGCCTCACCATGTCTTACAACATTGTGTATGCCACTACGCTTCTTAAATCTGTCACCAGCCTCTGCTGGCCTTAAATTCATTATCAGCACTGGTTCCAGGAGTTTTCTGTACCAGATCGGCATGCAACTTCCTTGCCTTTTCGCAAATAATCGTCTCTGAAACACTATCACCTGCAATCTCTTTATCCTTGATCCACATCAGCAACAACTTCTCAACCTCTTCAACTATTTGTGGTCTTTTTTTGGTTAGCATATTAACACCTTTTGCAACATCAGCTTCCTTGATTTGTTCTTTCTTTGACCGATGGCCAACTTGTTTTTCCCATACATCCTGGCAAGCTCAACAAGTGTCACACCACTCTCATACTTCTGTATTATTTCCTTCTTCACATCTATGGTGTTTCTCACTTTCTTTACCACAGGGGTACCACTAGCAAGTTTCTTTGGGCCCATGGCAGCTTATTTCACAGTCCCACAAGCACTAAACACAACGAAATAATCGTAAAATGTGTGAATGAGAGCGCAGGTTAGTGTTCACTCAAGTATAAACAAAGCTAGACTGCTCACGGCGCCTGCGTGGGGACGCGGACAGAGCGGGCCCGCGGACATGTCCCATACCTTGCGGTCCGAAAATATGGGCGCGTTCGATAATAGGGACAGAGTTTGTCCAAAAAAATGGTCCTATTTTCGAAACGTTCGATATGTGATACGTTCGATTTTTGAGGTTCCACTGTAATTTGATTTCCATTATTTCTTATGGGGAAAATTAATTCGGCTAACGATAATTTCGGCTTACAATGAGCTCTTAGGAACGGATTAATATCGTAAGGCGGGGTTCCACTGTATTTTATAGTTCTTTTACCTTCTGTTTACTGTTAGTCTGCATAGTCTGTATCATACATCTCTTTCAGGTATTGATGGCCTTTACGCAAACATTACATCTGTTACGCCCCAGTAAGTGTCCTGGCTTTGCTTATGCCTGGCTGGAAATTGTGAGCCATCGAGTGTTCATTGGCCGGATGTTGGCTATTACACCACAACAAAAGGGATGGTCCATGTACTCCATGTTGTTAGCAGATCTTTTCACATTTTTAGCACCCTTTTTAAGGAATGCTGAATTAGCCAAACCACTGACAATGCTCTATAAGGTAAAGATATCTACAATATAGTGATTGTTTTGTCAGATACAATTTTTGCTTATGAATACCATACTATTGTTATATCTTCAGTATTTTTACATAATTTGCTGTTTAACATTACAGGGTACCCTACGTGTGCTGTTGGTCCTCCTCCATGACTTTCCTGAATTCTTATGCGAATACCACTATGGATTCTGTGATGTCATCCCTCCAAATTGCATCCAGATGCGTAATCTCATTCTGTCTGCCTTTCCACGAAATATGCGCCTTCCAGATCCTTTTACACCAAATCTCAAAGTAGACATGTTGCCAGAAATTACTGTATCACCTAAGATTCACACTACTGTTGCCAGCCTCATTCAACCTCCAGAATTCAAGAAGAATTTAGATTCCTATCTAAAGAACAGGACACCAGTAACATTTCTCTCAGATATGAGAACATATTTACAGGTATGTGAATTGTTCAGATTGTCAGAATAGGTATGTATACATGTATATATACATTTGCATATGTAGATTATAATGTGTATGTATGAATGTGTGTATATGTATATATATATACTTTTTTTAACATGTTGTGTGTCTCCCACCGAGGCAGGGTGACCCAAAAAGAAAGAAAAAACTTATCATCATTCAACACTTTCACCATCACTCATACATAATCACTATCTTTGGAGAGGCGCTGAGATACGACAGTTTAGAGGTCCCTCCAAACTGCCAATATCCCAAACCCCTCCTTTAAAGTGCAGGCATTGTACTTCCCATTTCCAGGACTCAAGTCCGGCTATATATAGTGTGCGTGTGTGTGTGTACTGAAGCCACGACACAAGTAGTATTGAAACATTTATCAAACTGCAGCCAGCCGGAATTAGATCCTGCAACACATTCTCTCTCCTCAAGGGACAGAGCAACAGTCCCATTGCCTTAACTACTTGACCATCGATCTTTCAGAGATCATGCACCCAGCAGTGCTAGGTGTTGGTCATGATCCGAGGACACTCGTGATAGCGGTAAGCTCAAGGCTTATCTGAAGGATCGATGGTCAAGCGGTTAAGCCAATGGGACCATTGTTCTGTCATGAGGTGGGAGAAAGTATCACAGGATCTAATCCCAGCTGGTTGCAGTTTGGTAAATGCTTCAATACCACTTGTTTTGTGGTTTCTTTGCTATATAAACTGCTTGTGGAGGCTGGTTTTCAAACGGGAGGTGGTTAAAATTAGCCTTGAGCTTACTACTACCACGAGTGTCCTCGGATCACGAGCAACACCTAGTGCTGCTGGGTGCAGCACTAGGCGCTGCAGAGATGAGATACCATCTCACTTCTGGATAGTAACCATGGTACCCAAGAAGAGTGTGAGTATTCCTGGAAGTGCAAAAAAGTAGCACGAGTGTGAAAGTCTTGATGTGTGTGTGTATTTTTAATAAGAAAATTGAGATATTAGATAAGTGTGGCACATGTAATGAAGATGGAGTGAGCCTGTGACGTAATGTGGCATCAATTTGCATGGTCAGGAAGATTAAGGAAAAGATTACCTGCTTGTGAAATGACCAATACAGGTTGTGCTCCTGAAAAGAATGACAAATAAGTCAAAACAGTTAAATAAGATGGAAGGCTTGTTGAGTGAGTGGATTTAACAAAAAACAAGAAAGGTGCACCACTCATTTTCATCATAAGGAAAAAGAGTCTTAGAGTACTATAAAATAGTGTGTTATGAGGAAAGGAAGCCTGAGCAAGAGTGCTTGTTTAGTACAGACTGGTTTCACATATTCTAATTGTGCAGTTGGTTGCATAGTATTAAATCTTCTGGTGAATGTGCTTTTTCTGACACTACTGTTGCAAGGAATTCCCCTTCTGAATTACAGGAAATTATTTCTGAAAGTGGCTACGAGCAGCAGTAAGTGTTTAATGCTGTAGAAACAAGAATGTTGAAAGATGCCAGTGAGAACTTACATCAGCCAGCAAGAGAAAAGTGCACCAAGGTTAAAGGCAGCAAAGGATTTGCAGTAATGTGTCAATCAACTCAGAATGTTATGTACCACTCCAAGGCTCCCTGTGCTTTGAAAGATATAGATAAAACTACCAGTTATTTGGAGGTAAAAACCAATCAGCAAAGATGACAGAGGAAATATTTACTGACTGGTTTAGGTATTTTATTCCCAAAGTCATGTTTTACCTGTGAAGCTGTACTGTTGTTGAATTATTAGAATGTTTAAGTGTAACTACCCTTGAAAAGTGATGCAGAAACTTGCTGTATTAAGGGATGCTGACTCAGACCTCAGAGTGCTAGAATTTAGGCATAAATTTAACATTGCAGGTGACATGAGCTGCATCAAAAGTGCATGGAACAAAGTGCCCCAATCAGTATGGCTTAGTGTGGTGAATACGTTAGAGGTTTTCCTCTCGGTTGAGAGCCGTCGGTGTAAGAATCAGCTGTTTGCTTCAACCAACAATCCACAACATTCCCCATGAGGGTTACACCATCCTTCTCTACTCCTTTTAAAATCAACACGCACCAACAACCAGAATTTAAGTTAAGAAATAATTATGTAACTTTTGTAGCTGAAAGTACATGTATTGTATTAACCATAACACATTACTGAATCAGCCTACGATTACGGGAAAATGGTTTCCATTTTCGCCAATCACTCTGGAACAGATTAAACATGAAAACCGAGGGTTCACTGTACATTATTATCAGTATTTTTACAATTTCAAGACCTAAAGAAAAGTTGGTTGGCTTTTTGGGGGTCTTTTACCCTTATGATGATCTTTTCATTTTTCTCGATTTTTTTTTTATTACATGCCACTTTCAGGAATGTCATTACCGAGTTAGCCAATGTATAAAAACACTTGACACACATGCACACGCACGCACGCGCGCACACACATGCATTCGGACTCGACCCCTGCAACCTCAACTAGGTGAGTACACACATACCCCTACATACTCTCACTTTTTCTCACTCTCCTACTAAATGGTGCATTATATAATTGATTTAGGATTACATTGATGACATATGTCATAGAAAGCCTCTGGTTAGGCAGAGCATTTCGGGCAATCTTAAAATTAACTTATAACATTTGGATGATTATATTTAGTTTTTTACATGAATGCTAAAATTTTCAGTCTTTGACATTAACTGTAGAAATTGATTTATGAGTGACACTTTTGTTATGTTTAGTAGGACTGTTATATTTGTAATGGTTATTACAATTTTTTAACACTCCAACCATATCCCACTGAAACAGGGTGACTTAACTAAGAAGAAAACACTCTCACTGTCACTCTTTAAATTACTGTCAAACCAGAAGGGTGCAGACATAATGGTTCAAATGACCCCTTCAAATTGCTACATCCCCACTCCTTTTTTGCAAGTGCATGCACTATACCTCCTTTAATCACCCCCTCCGTACTCCCTACCTCCCATCCTTCCAATCTTTTCTAAAATAACCCCTACCTGTCCTTACCTCCACCTCAGATTTACACACCCTCCTAGTTTTCTCCATCCTCCCAAATTATCCAAACCACCTCAACAACCCCTCCTCAGCCCTCTGAATAACACTGTTGGTAACTCCACACTTAATCTCCAGACTCTGAATACTTATATAATCACACCTTCAGACATGACATCTCTACTGCCTCCAGCCTCCTCCTCCTCACTGCAGCATTCTAAACCCATGCTTCACACTCATGCTGGGTTTAACGCTTAGTTTTAATTGTAATAGTAATTCACACCCGTAGGAGATGGTACAGAAAAAGAAAATGAGTTACTGAATTGCTTAAAAACACAAAGATGTTGCAACAGAGGAAAGATAGGCTTAGCCAAGAGATCACTGAATTAGAGCAAAAACTCAGGATGTCATACCTAACAGAAGAAGTACAAAGGGCCATACAGGATACTGCAAGAAACCCAAAATATTTCTATTCCTATACAAAATCCAAACTAAGAACTACCTGCAGAATTGGACCATTATTGAGAGGAGATTCATATACTGGCGATGAACAGGAAATGAGTGAAATCCTAAAAGAACAGTACGAGTCAGTGTTCAGCAACCCACTAAATGACAGCAAGGTAGAAAATGCAGAAATATTTTTCACTCCAGCAGAAGGCCACGCAGACCAACTAACGGACATTAATACAAATCCCATAGATTTCGAAAACGAAATGGACAACATGCCCACTCACTCAGCACCTGGACCAGATTCATGGAATTATCTGTTTATAAAGAAGTACAAAGTACCACTAGCGCAAGCCCTCAGTATTCTTTGGAGAAAGGGCCTAGTTCTAGGGAAAATACTGGAGGCCTTAAAGAGTGCAGACATAGCTCCTTTGCATAAAGGGAGGTAATAGAGCACTAGCTAAAATAACGGACCAGTTGCCCTAACTTTTCACATCATAAAAATCTTCAAAAGAGTGATGAGACGGCAGATTATAAATTTCGTGGACCAGCACAACCAGCATGGTTTTGGAGCAGGACGATCACGCCTGTCACAGCTGCCTAACCATTATGACAGAATTACAGAGGCATTGGAAGAAGATCAAAATGCAGATGTGATTTACAGATTTTGCAAAGGTGTTTGACAAATGCAATCATGGAGTGATAGCGCACAAAATGAGGGCCATCGGCGTTACGGGAAGATAGGCAGATGGATTTTCGAGTTCCTAACACACAACAGAACAAGTAGTAGTAAACAGCAAAATTCAACATCAGCGAGTTCATAAGCTCAGTGCCCCAAGGCACTGTCCTGGCACCCCTGCTGTTTCTCATCCTCATAGCAGACATAGATAAAAACACCCATCACACTTTTGTATCATCATTTGCAGATGACACTAAAATAAGCATAAAAGTCACTACGGTAGAGGACACCGAAAAATTACAGGAAGACATACACAGGGTTTTCCAGTGGGCAATGGAGAACAACATGACATTCAATGGTGATAAGTTTCACCTGCTTAGGTATGGGAAGAATTAAGTACTCGAAAGGAACACTATATACAAAACTCAAGAGGGCTTAGAGAACACTTATGTTGCCTTAGAGAACACTTATCATCTCTGGACTGGGGTAACGATGAGAGCTATCAATATGACAGCTTTCTGAACACTATACATGGTGCCCAAAGAACATTTATCCCATATAAACAAATTAGATCAAATAAAAATGACCCAAAATAAAAATGACCCAAATATCTTTTAGGGCAGAAGAAAGGAATTTATAGGCATATCAAAAGAGGTGAGGAACATCTTATGAATCAGTATACTGACATTAAGAGGGACGTTGAAAAGGGAATAAGAGAAGCTAAACAGGAGTATGAAATTAAAGTTGCTAGGGATTCGAAAACTAACCCAAAAAGTTTTTTCCAGGTGTATAGAACAAAAGTTAGAGATAAGGTAGCTCCCTTAAAAATAACTATGGGCATCTTACTGTCAAAGAGAATGAAATGTGCTC